TTCCTTTCGATACACGTTCGTTGGAGGAGAGGCCGCGCGCTTGTCAATTAAGTGAGAATGATGTCGGTGGCTGCGGCAAATCATTCATTCCAATCTACCACCACAACACAATAAATTCTTCGAGATTGGGCCTCCAGATTGAACGTTACTGCTTTTCTGCTGCGCGTCCAACAATAAAAATCAACCTTTTCGGTTGTAAAGCGCCAAAGAGCGACCCTCTTTACGTCTCACATCAGATTCCTTACTGATTAACACTCACACTAAGAGCAGGCGAGGGCGAAAATTTACCTTTTGATAATGTGCATGCCTCGTCACTGCACATTTATAAAACTGTGACTTTTGAATTTGTCTGCTCGGACAATATTTGAAGCTTAAAAGACATGAACATTTTTGTGCAGTTTTTTTTTTTAGTTTTGAGAAGCAAGTGAATTTTAAGTATTTTTGACAATTGATAAATAGCAAAAAAATTATTATATTTTGAATAATCTATTTTTTATGTTTATTATTTGTACCAATACAAAAATTCAATCTTTTGTACAAAAAAGCTAAAATACAAATTAAAAAAATATAAATTATTTTTAAACCAATCAAAAGAAACACTCCTCTGACATTTTTATTGCATTCTTTAGGAATTATTTTCTTTTTTTTTTAACACATTTTTAGAGCTGCAAAAATGCGCAGCTAAAATCACAAGATTAAAAAATTTGAAACTTAAAAATTAACTTGGGTTTGAAATAAAATAGTGACTCTTTTTTTAATCTTAAAAGGACAAGCAGTCATTATGTTGTGTATGTGAAATAATTTTAAAAGACTAAACCGGGTCCATACATGAGATGCTACACAAGCTTCGAAATTTTAATTTATAGGGACCAGGGCATAAAATCGGTACTCCAAAGCTGATCCGCGACGCTCTTCCTTTGCCTTTTTCTTCTTCTCCTTATGGTTTTTTGGCGCTGATTGTGAGAATCACTTTCGGGCGCGCACTAATTTTCAGGCGCGCGCAATAAAAAGTGCCGTTTAAGTCTCACTTGGGCATAAATTATTATTCCGCGGCGTCGCGGCCGCCCTGAGATCCCAATTATTTTGGAAAATAAAAATTAGCTACATGAATAACGATTCCTATCTGGAAGCTGCTGCCTTTTGATGAGAATAATAAAAATTAGAGCATCTCGCGACCACGAAAAGCTTAATTGGCACTTAAATTTTAATTGCTGCCCTGGCTGGTCGACACTTGCCGCTTCTGATCGTTCCAAGATTAATAGATGGAAAATGGTTTATTTTCAATTATTGACCAGCATTTTATAGTACTAAGAGGGTTTAAATTTGCATAACATTATCCAATTTTTGACAAAATCAAGTAATTTACGTAAAATAAATTTTGATAACAGCACCCTTTAGAAAACATTTGAATTAAATCCGATTTCCAACATTAATATTAATTAATTTTAGCCACAATTACAGCGGTTTGATTCGGAATGAAATTCGCGTAGTGTGTTAGTACTTTTTATTTGAAATTCTAATTTTTCAGTTAATTGCTTGACTAAGTATTTGAATAATATTTTTACTATAAAAAAAAATATATCATTTTTTTCCTAAAATTTTTATTGAAATTAATTTTTTCGAGTTTTGTATTATTAATACAGCAGTATTTATTATAAAATAAATAATTAAATTAAATTGTTTAAAATAAAAACTAAATAAATTTCTGTAAACCTTCAGAATCTTAAAATCGATACATTTTTAACAAATTTGTTTGAGTTATTTTCATTAAATGCTTAACAGTAGCTTTTATTTACAGGTTGAAGTTTTTGTTATCAATTGTTAAGACATGAAAAAATTTAAAGATATTCTTCAACAATTACAATTGCGCCTCATTAATGTTATTTATCAACCAACAGGACATTTCTACCACGCAAAACCGCACCTCTTTGCCCTTAAAATTTAAATGCTGCTGCTTTTGTGCAATTTATCTTAATTGCTCTTGAAATTTATTGGGTCGATTGCGTTGCTTATTAAGACATCACACGCTTTTGTGCTCTGAATTTTAATTTGCATCTTGGGAACTGCAACGTTAACGCTGTGTTAATTAATGCTGGTAATGGTGGTTCAGAAAATTCAAGTCAGACTTAAGTGAGATTTTGCAATTAAAGATGTTTATAATTCCAGCCAAGTCGTTTAAAAGAATGGCCTCAAATTGAAAACTCAAGTCGTTAAGTTTAAATGATAATACTTGGTTTCCATGAAAGTGTGTAGAATAAAGTGGCAACCAATTTGTCATCCGAGAGTTGCAGGTTGCATAACCTCACTGCAAGAAGTACTAAAAAAAATTGAACTCGAGTCTATTAAACATAAATTGATTTAATTAAGAACTCCATTCCATTTTCTTTGGTTTGAAATTTCATTTTTATAGCAATAGTTATGTTGATCAATTGAACGAAGGTAAACATTTAAAGCTGAAAATTTTTGTGCAAATTGTTTTTCCGCCAAATTGCTACACAGATAAAAATTTCGGCCATAACCAAAAGCACCAACAGCGATTGAATATGCAGATCGCATTTAATAACAGTAGCCTGTGGCCGCGAGCCAGTTTCGAAAACGCGCGGCTCCTCTCCGTGATTACGACTGTTATTACCCACACGTTATACAAAGCACGGTGTGGCTCTCTCTTATTTTTCATCAAAAGGAGCTTCTTTTTATCGAGGGGAGTGAAAATTGCGCCGCCGACTTGGAATAAAACCCCGCGAGCTTTCGTGTGGAGGCTACTGGTGTTTGCTCTCTTTTATTTTTATACACATAAACGCTACTGCCGTTTATTCCATCCAACGGCAGCATTTGTCACGAAATTATATCCTATATGGGCATGTGCACTGCACGTAACCTCCAATCATAAAAATACCACACCGACTTCCAGCAGTCACGGATCTGGTTGAATATTTCATAATTATAATTTGATAAATGCTCAATTCTTTATCCCAAACTTTTGGTACCTTAGTTGAAAAATTTTGCCACAAAAACATTTTATTTTGACGATTGATTTTAATGATTTTTTTAATTAATTTTAATTTCAGATATTAATTGCCAACAAAATATTTGGAAGTAAATTTACAAAAAAAAAAAGCAGTTGAGGGCATATAATGATCTAAGTTTCACCCTATTTAATTTCCTTTTGAGAGCAAAAATATTTAGATTTATTGAAACTATTTAAAGATCGTCGACTCACATTACAAACTCAAAAAAACTTGAGATCAATTTAAATTTTCATTAGCAACCCCTCTCTTCTTTTATAAATGTGAAAAAATTTCCTTTCGGCTAATTCCTACTACATTGCATCTCTAAAAAAGACAATCGCCGATCGTCTGATTAAGACCTAAATTTTTAACTCTCGTGCCCAATTAAAACGAAATTGACGCTGGGTGTGTTCTATAAACCTGCTCCTCTCATTGTGTTTCTCTTCTTTTCGTCCCTTGCTCTCACTTGAACATGCTCCGTGTTGAGCAAAACTCTCTTTGTCTCTCCAACTGGTTGTCTCAAGTGTAATTTTCGCACCCTAATGAGCCACGATTTTCCTTGCAGACATTTTCCGCCGGCTCAAAATGCCTCTCATATATCACTCTGCAGGCAAACCGAATAAAAATGCACTTTAAGAAATTCCTTCGGTGTGCAGGTATATTATTTGTCTCATCAGCAGCCAGCGACATGTCAGCCGTGGAGTTTGTCCGCTTGGAATCGGTCCAAGAAAATAAGGAAAAGCCGCTTTGCGATTAAAAGCAAAACTCGGCATTAGAACGATGATTATTTTATTAATTAAAGTAGTTTCAAGCAACCGTTATTAATAAATATAAAACTGAATAATAATTTAATTTATATAAAATCTGGGAAATATTAGAAAGTGGATATTTTATTTGAAAAATGGCCAATAATTTTAATTTTAAAACTTTCCCAGCTCATTTGTTATTTAAATTAGAGCGTTTAGACCCCTGAGGTTATATAACAATATTTTGACCCGTGACAAGTGAATAATAAATCTTGAAATGAGAATCGGCAGCAGCCTTTCTTTAATGGCACTGGTCTCTCTCTCGCGACGAGTGATTCATTACTTAATTTCGGCGGCAATCTCAGCTCTCATCCATTAATTCGTCGGGAGAATAAGAAACGAATTCTAAACATAGGCATGTGAGTGTGTGGGTTCTCTTTCTTTTTCAAATTAATTTCCATAGCACGTATATACAAAATTAATTATTTTCAATAATTCAAGTAGAGCTAGTTATAATAACGATAATTGTAATGAGAATTCAAAGCCGATTGCTGCCGGCCAACAACAGCACCTCTCAAGCCATATCGCTCTCAAAGAAATATATCGTTCATAATCCAACGGTGGAAAACTCCTTGCATACAAGAAGCCCGCATGAGTGTGTTTTTTTTCTGCTCTCGGGCTAGAGTAATGGCTTTCTTTTGCTCCTTTTAATGCGCGCGCCGTATCGTATTTTCAATCTTGTAGTAGTTATCTTTTAATAATAATAAATGTCTTCGAATGCAGCACACACCCAGTGCTCTCTTCTTCTGTTCTCCCCTGCAGCACACAGCAAAACACACGGCTGTCTGGGCTCCTGCTCCCATCAGCGAATGGAAAACAAGAGCGGTGCAATAATCACAATGAATTGGAAACTGATGAATTTGGAACAATTCTAAACCATTTTTATCCTATTTACGAAGCCAAACAAAAGAAGTCTCCGCATCTATATTATATTCTATATTAAAATGGTGATTGATTTTTGCTTCTTACAATTAAAAGATGTAACTAAAAAATTGGATTTCTTTAAAAAATTAATTAAGCAACATAATATTAAAGATCTGCAATGATTGTGAGTATCACAATATTTTGTTTATATTATATATTATTATGATTATGACTTATTATTACTGGCCTTTCGAACGTACTTAAAGTCAAGGTTCCAATTTATGAAACATTTTTTTATAGATTTAGCACATGATTTGAAAAATAATCCATTTGCCAGCATAATATGTTTAAAAAGAAAATTTAAATCAATCTTCCATATTCCAGTATCCAAAAGTATTCAAATATTAATTTACGCTGCAATGAAATTACGTATAAGGAATTAAAACATCCATCTTATAGTAAATGGACTTCTCCTAATACGATTTTCGCAATTAAGGGATTCTCGAGAAAGATACCAATGTAACGATTATTCACCTCAAAGACGAGAATCTTTGCGCGAGTACAGAAGAAATGCAAGAAACGGTTATTTTTTAATCGGAAAGTGATATTATATAAAGAGAGAAACCGAAAATGTCTACTTTTGAGGATTTTGAGCCAAACGATTGGTGGTCTTTCTAGTAGCAGTCTTCAAGGTTGTTGTTATCTTTTGGGTACTTGTTTTTGCTGTTGTAGTCGGTTTTTGAGTAGTTGTTTTTGTTGTTGTCGTCGGCTTTTGGGTGCTTTTTGTTGCTGTCGTCGTCTTTGAAGTACTAGTCTTTGTAGTTGTCGGTATGCGAGTTACCGATAAAGTCTGACTGGTGCTGCTAGAATCCTCCGTTGAGGCAATTGTTGGCGTATTAGCGGAACTGGCTGAGGACGAGGTAGCCACAAGGGTTGAGGTGGGCGAAATCCCTCCATTTATTGTAGTTGTTCCCGACAAATCTGAATAGTTGGAATTATATATAGGAGCGAGCGTAATAAATAACAATTATTGTCTTTAATATGAACCTTGTCCGATTTTTCCCGACATCCAGCCTAGGAAAGAGGAGACCCTCGTGAAGCCTGCAATACATCCGCTGGACGAACCGAACGAAATCACGCCGATCTGCACCCACGTTTTGTTAGAGTCTATGTACACCAGTGGTCCACCAATGTCACCCTGTTTACGAATTGGTTAACAAATTACAATTAGTTTGAGACAAATCAAGTGACCGCACCTGACAGATGGAGGTATCTATTTGTTTGGAGCAAATAATAGACGATGCAACGAATGAGGAGCCGAAGTAAGAGGCGCAAGACTGATAGCTGATAACCGTGACTTGTGTATATTTGAGGTCACGACTCGAAGAAGAGGCTTTGGATACGAGTTACTTATAAAAGAGTCACAAGTTGAATCTTTAAACATACAGACGAAGCCGCTGACAGTGGCCAGGGTACCTGTAAGGTTTTTAGTGGCATCATACAAGGACGGCAGCTTCACTGGCGAGACACTTGCTGTAAACATTGAGGTTCAGTTACATTTCTTTATTCATTGCCCTGTAGCTCACCAGTAAAGCTCACAGAAGATGGCAACTTTATAAGGGCAATGTCATTGTTGAGGTTGGTGTCATTGTACTGTTCGTGCGTGTAATTGACTGTTGATGTAAACCGAAGGTAGCCTGGAGTGAGCAAGCTTTGGCTAATGGTGCCAAGGATAACGTCATAGGAGCGCCTGATAATGGAAATAAAATTTTTTCGTTAATTGGGGTGAAGTGGTTGGTTTTTAACTGACCCGGTGCAATGAGCAGCTGTGAGAACCCATTGCGAAAGGATAAGGGAGCCGCCGCACAGCACTGCGCTGTCTATGTAGATTAGAGCTTGCCACGGGAATTGGCCCAAGGAAGCCAACGAGCCGCCCGCTTGTTTGCTGAAGGCAGACGCAGTTCCCGCGACATTTGCTGATTTTTCAATCAATTTTATTTACATGAATAGCCAAGAGTTTTTATCAAATAATAAAAAAAAATCGCTGTTATAGTCCATGCCTAATTAAAATTTTTAATTCCATTTCTTATAATAAGGAATATTAAAAAGTATATTTCAATGAAGGTGGGCTGCTGCAATTCGAGAGAAAAATTAAACATTAATGTTTTTATGCAAAATGTACTCTAACAATAAATAAAATCCGCTGGGATTATTAAGAAATCTAAAAATTCAGAGCAGAAAATGCTAAAATTTAAAAAAAAATCATAAATGATCTGAAACGTACGTTGGATAATTGGGTTTGCATTGGGGTTGTCAGCTGAGGGTTGGTTGGTGTTGATCAGTTTTGTCCACTGAGAGGCGCTGAGCTTCTCGTAGATCCTGGGCAGAGTCCGCTCCTTGGATTTGACGCGTATGTAGACATCGCCATTCCCAAGAGCACCCAATACGACCTTTTTATTTATTAGAGAATAAAGCTGAATAAGTTTTCATCTTCACTTGCACGACCAGTGCCAGCAGCAGCACAATTCCCTTCCCCATATTTTAGGGAGTTTTGCAATTAGAATTTTGACGGATGGTTCTTCAGTCGACAAACGACTGCTGCAGAATCAGTCTCTATTCTTCTAATATATGCGATGCAGCACTTCCGGTGCTTTCCGTTTCCTGTTCTGCGTCAGTGATTTAGTAAGCCAATGACAGTCAAGGAACGTGTCAAAAGCGACAAATTTTTATATAATTTATAAATTCATATTTTCACAGCAAAAGTGCAGTCACTGTTTGTTGCGATATCCCTACTTCTTCGCAAAACAAATGCTATGTCCTAAATATATATTATCTCCTTTTACCACGCAAAATAATTTTCTTTTTAAACAATAAACATAAAAAGTTTACTTATCTCATGAACGTCTCCTCAACCTGAATTCTGAAGTTTTGTTCTAAATTTTTTTTTTAATATTATTATTAAAATACAACTTAATCTTTTCGATAAAATAGCAGTCTTCAGTTATATATTTTAATCAAAAAACGCCACTGCAGTTGGTAATCAAGAAAAATGAAGATTGATGATGTATTTATTTTTCAGGCTGGACATTTTGCTGTTTTCGGTAGGCTGGGGGGAATTTTTTTTTAGGTGGTGTATTAAACTTTTTTAAATAATAATATCTCTTTAAATTACCCAAATCTAGTAAATAAGCTCCACACATCACAGCGAATATTGTATCCAATTGTATCCAAAAAAAGAGCAATAAAAACAAATTATTTTTCACACATTTGTGCTAACAGTAAGAGACAGAAAAACAAAATAAATATTACTTTTTTTAATTTTCTTTATTGCATACTTTAAAAAACAGGAACCAAAACCAAAGATAAAAATTCTGCTGAGAATGAAGTCAAAAAAGGGAGAAAGACTGTCTTTTTAGGCAAAAGCTAATTTTTCTTCTTCAAAGTCGTGGTTTTAGGAGTTTTGGTAGTTGTTGTTTTTGGAGTACGCGTTGTTGTCGTCTTTGGAGTACGAGTTGTTGTCGTCTTAGGAGTGCGAGTTGTTGTAGTTTTTGGTGTTCGAGTTGTTGTGGTTATTGCGGAACTTGTAGACGTCGTTTGAGTATCCGTAGACATTTCGCTAGTGCTGCTACTAGAATCGCCCGGTGGTGTCTCACTGGAGACGGAGGACGTTGGATCTGCAGTTGATGACCCTCCACCTCCACTTGTCGTACCCGTCAAATCTATTTTTTTTTGTACATTTTATAATTTTTCTATAAATGAAACTAAAATTTAATCACAGACCTTGTCCGATTTTATCTGACATCCACCCGAGGAAAGAAGTAACCCTGGCAAAACCTGATGGACCAGCTAAACATCCGCTTGAAGAGCCAAACGAAACCACGCCGATCTGCACCCATAAATTATTGGAGTCTTTGTACACTAGAGGTCCGCCACTGTCTCCCTGTTATACAAAATTAAACTTTTATATGAAAAGGTTGAAACAATTTAAATGATGTACCTGGCAGGTGGATGTATCAATTTGTTTGGTGCATATGGTTGATGCGACAACGACCGAGGAGCCATAGTAAGAGGCGCAAGACTGGTAGCTGATGACCGTGACTTGTGTATACTTGAGGTCACGGCTCGAAGAAGAAGCTTTAAAAACGAGCTACATGAGAATGTCACATACTCTGCAACTTTTTTACAGTCCGAGGTCCTGCCAAAGCCGCTGACGGTGGCCAGGGTACCTTCCAGGTTTTTTGTGGCATCATACAAAGACGGCAACTTCACCGGCGAGATGTTCGCTAAGAATTGTCAATGGGTAAAAATTAAAAAAATAAATACATTTTATTTGAAGCTTCACAGGTAAAGCTCACGACAGATGGTAACTTAATAAGGGTGACGTCATTGTTAAGGTTGGTGTCATCGTATTTTTCATGCCTGTAACTAAGCGTCGAGGTGAGCAAGACGTATCCGTTAGTAAGAGAGCTCTGGCTAATAGTGCCCAGATAAACTCGGTAGGAGTTCCTGGATATCAAAATAGTAAAAATTTGAACGGATAACTCAGTGGTGGCTGGAAACGGACCCAGTGCAGTGGGCAGCCGTGAGAACCCATTGCGAAAGGATAAGGGAGCCGCCGCACAGCCAGGCGTTGTCTATGTAGAGTAGAGCTTGCCACGGGAATTGGCCTGAGGAGGCCAACGAACCGCCGACGATTTGCTTACTGATATAAGTCGTCGTACCCGCGACCTTTGCTGAATTTTTTATAAACTTTATACATAAGCTAAAATTTTGTATGATTTTTAATACGACAAAAAGAAAAGAATCACAACTTTTAGTTTTTTTAAAGAAAAGCATACCAATAATAAAGATAATTTCTATTAATTTTATTTTTCCATTTTGAATAATCTTGAAAATGCAAAAAGTTAGAATATAGATCATAAATGATCAGACGTACGTTGGACGATTGGGTTCGCTTTGGGGTTGTCAGCCTTGGGTCGATTAGCTTCGGTCAGTTTTGTCCACTGAGATGCGCTGAGCTGCTCGTTGGTTTTAGGGAGGGTGCGCTCATTTGGTTTGACGCGCAGGTAGACATCATTATTCACACTAGCGCCAATTGCAGCCTGTTTTTAGTCATTATATAAAATACTTAATTAAAATTAGTTTTCTTGTTCACCTGCACGATCAGTGCCAGCAATAGCAACACAATTCGCTTATGCATAATTATCTGATTAAGAGCTCCAGTTGTTCGATCGATGATTCTATAGATCAGCATATATTATGCTGGATCGTTCTCTATTTATATGTCGTAGCACTTCCGGTGCCTTCCATTCCCTGAATTGTTCAGGAGATGTGGAAATTCGAACTGTTTACAACAGCCCGTTCTCTATCAGTGATTTAGACCAAGGACGTACAGCCAGCGAACGTGCAGAACTGGAATTTTTTTAATTTTTATATTCACTATTGATGCTGTGTCAATGTTTCATGGATATTCAAAACAATCTCATGCAATTCTATTAATGCCTTTGCCTCTCCATCTCACTTAACACATAATTGACTTAATTAAACAACTGGAAAATCCCTCATTAGAGAGAAAAAAATGCAAAGTTGAATTTCTTGGAATTTTTTTTGTATAATATTGAAAAAGAAAAGCTTGTTCTCGATCAGCATGGTTGTAAGAAAAATCCTAATTTTTAATTTTCACTTATAAAATCCATTTTCATTTAGTTAATTAGTTACGATCAAAAATACTGAGTATTAATTTTGGAGCCTCTAACAAGCATTCAAATATAAAACAGCTTTATTTTCGTACATAAAAGATTCATCGAAAAGGTTCACTATCGAGATGGAAAGGAAAATGACCGTGGATTGCAAAATCATTTCTGCCGTCACTAGCAGGAAGTTTGACGCACGAAGCAAAACTCCTGAATTTTCAGAACGGTCGCTCGCTCGCATTCAACTTCCTGTGTCCACCTTTCCTGTTTGGGAAATCGATTGGAAATTTCAACGGCAGCCTGAATTTTGCTAAATTGCTTCAACGTTGGCAAGAAACAGATTTTCACCATTTATGATCAATTTTAAGGAATTTTTTAATATTATTGAGGATCTTACAATTACAGTCAGTTTAATACAAATAAAATTTGATCAATTGATTTAAAAAATATGGTTTGAAACTTTGGGATTATTTTGTTTCGTTTTCAAAAAAATTGGTAACCCATTAATTTCCTATAAAAAATCAACCATGAAAAATTTCTACAAGATCACACATTTTCTCACGAGGTTAATCCAATTTTTATAACGTGCAAAATTAAATAGATCATGCGTGTGCTGAAAGCAGCTTTGCCTCGGCACGATACATCATTTTGAATGAAACCGGCAAGTTATGATCGAGCAACATTGTGTTTTTGTATATTTATTATTTCCATAGACGGCGGCACTAAACTATTTTACAAGAGCGCGCGGCTCCTTTTCTCTCTTGCTCTTGCGGCGCTGCCACCGACTGCTGTGCGTTATTTTTTATTTTTCCTCTGAAAATGAGCTGAAAACAAGGCGGCCGGTTTGTTTTGCCTTTTATTAATGAGGACGGCTGGGCGACCGAGCGGCCGGAGAGACAGAGCACGCAAGCACATAAAAATTAATTGCACGTATTAATATTCAAAGTGTTAAAATCAACAGCGGCGTCCATCACGCCGCACATAAATAATCGATCGCCGAAAACAGGCAGCAAAATTTGGGTCCTCTTGCGGCGGGTTTACGACCACCTTTTATCATTTTAGATTCTTAATTGGTGCTCCTGGATACTTTTCTAAACTTATAATGATATGCTGTAGGTCTCTGAAAATTGAATTAGGAATTTACCTGAGAGACCGTTCTTAAACAGGGAATAGATTTTAATCAAATTCATTAATTGTTGTAATTTTTAACGAAATAAAATAGAAAATCATACAATATTTCCCCTGGTTCTATCATTTTGGTTTTTTAACAAAATTAAGACGCATAAATTTTACTTAATTCAAATTTTTCTCAAATTATTATAAAATTTAATTAAATTTTTTCTCTTTTTTACTACAAAATACTTATACTTTTCTAGTAGCTAGAAGCACAAAATAAATTACAAAAACCATTAATTTAGTAGACAATGTTAATTTAAAAGTGACAAGTTTTAATATTTATTTTTATTGTTATATTTTTTAAAAATAAGTTAATACTGCTCATTATTCATAAATGCATCTGATCTTGGATATTTAAAGTCATTCATTGTCCATATCGCGTTGCAGCCTCCAACATCAGATGGCCTTAAAGCAATAAATAATGCAGCTATTCGCGACTTGCACCGGCTTTGCGCTGATCAAACGCTCCGATTGCGTTTGCCGGAGCAGCCGAAGCGCCACCCTGCAGCGTCAAATACAAATTGCATCTCCCATCCAGCCCTGCGCGGGTTATTTATAATATTGCAAGGCAGTCGGGGCGATAACATCTCTCGCGGCTTAGAACGCTTGCTTAATTTAATAATTTCTGCTGCAGCCGAGAGATAAATCGCCGCCGCTGGATGTGCCTTATGAAAGCAAGATTTTTCATACAAAGGTTGAGCGCGCGCGTGTGTGATGTATTAATGCGCGCCAATTGAGAGATCGCTCGCAACGATATTGCCCTTAAGTGCGCGCGCGGTGCATATTTAATCCACTGCAAATGCCATACATTACTCCCCTTCAGATTTATTTACGGCTAATTTACGACGCGGCTAGAATGTAAGTAGTGAGCTAATATACCTGAAATAATGCAATTGTAACAACCGGTGCACCAAGACGCATGCAGCACCCTGCAAATGCACCTCCGAGGGCTCAGGGGCTCTTCGTAATTTAGGGAGTTTCTTGTTGATGATAAATACTTAATTTAAGATGCAAATACATTTGGGATAAAATGGTTCAAAATTTTGTACTTAACTGCAACTGTGCAACATTAAGAACTTTGTATTTTTCAGGAGAGATTATATAATTTATATTAAAACAGGTTTTACATTTGATAAAATATATATTAAGAAAAAAACTTTGCTACAAAATCAAAGTGATTTGAAAAATAAAATTGCAAAATTGAATAAAAATATTAAATATATCATGAGTAGTGGTGTATTAAAGAATTAAAATTATTCATTTGTTTTTAGATTTTTCCAGTTTTTTAACAAAAAATTAAAGTTAATCTTCAACATTTAAAGTCGGTTTTCCCTCAATGGGTATTGTGAGTTGTTTATATTGTTTCATAAATTCAAATTAGCATCATGAATCAACCCTCGATCGTAAAATTCTACTACAAAACTAAATTTTAAAGGATCATAATAAATATTTTTAATACTTTTTTCCAATCAAAAATTAATTAATTGGAGTGTTCTTTGTTTGGTAATATTATTTGAACACTTTTCAATCCCTCTCGCGATTATGAATATTTTCAAAACACTTTCACAGTCATTTATAAGATTGAATGGCCCCCGAGTGCACTGGATAATGACATCGGCTCCATAACTCATTGGGCACCATCATAACTGGTAATTAAGGCGAGTCTCTCGCAGCGCCTCGCCATTCTTTTTGCCTCTCCGTCGCTCGTCCAGCTGCAAAAACACACCACTGTACTGTATTTCACGTGTACATGCACCACACGAGAGCATATTTGAAGATTTATGCACTCGCTGCGTGCACAGTGCCGCTGCTGCTGGTACGCCATATTTCATGCAGTGAGCACATCTGTACGTGTTTTGCTGCGGCCGCTGCTCAGATAATGGGTTTCAAATTAGCTCCGCGTAGAAGATTTAGACTTGAAATATTATTTTATATGTACTTCGAAGAACAATGAAGTAAGCTGAAGAAAAATTTGAATGAATTCCTTAGCAAATCTCAATTATCAATTCAAAGTATTTGACCATACAACGTACTTTTATTTTCAGTATCGACTAACATTATTTTTTAGCGAATCAGTTTTGAAATTAGTTCATTTTGAGGAACAAAAAAAAAACATCACAAAATTTTAATAATTGGGATATACAGAAACTTTCACAAAAGAACCAGACAATTCTTGAAAAGGAAAAATTTTATTCTTAAAACGTCAGATGACGATTTTTACTTTTTATCTCATTTATATTATTTTAAATAAATAAATTCATTTTTATATGACACTCGATAGATTCAATTTATTTGAATTCAGCTTAAAATTAAGCCTGATTTGGCCTGCTAAAAGCAGCATTGAGTTGATTGTAATTAGGGCCCACGATTGGCTCTTAATTAAGAAGGAGGCTGCAGCTGTCCGAGAATATTGCGGTCGCGTCATTAAGCTCGTCGTGTGTGTAATCGCGCACCTGAGGCAGCGAGCAAGTTGAAGAGGTGCCAATTTATTTATTCAAGCCGCGTGCACCGCACTTGGACCGAAAGAGGTTGTTTGCGGCGAGAGCGGCGCGTCGGTGCAGGTGCTCAAGTGTTTGCCTTTTCACTTCAGTCTGCAATTCGTGACTTGGAAGAAATTTTATTATATAAATTTCTCAAAATTTCATAACATGAAATATATGTATATATTTTCTCTCAGTCTATTTAATTATTTCGTCCGTCAAAAATGTAATTCATTCGGGTGGAAATTATTTGTGAGGTTGAGGTTGGCGGTCGGTAATTTTCATCTCTCGTGCATGACGGTCCGAGATTAAACAGAGGAGAGGATGAGTTGTTTGCGTCGGACTGGTTCTATCAATAAAAATAATACACAACAGCAGCGCCCATCATAAACACAGCAGCAGCAGCACGCTTTTATATATTATAAGCAAGCAAGCTAATTTCCAACTTGCTTAGTCACTTAATGTAACTCAAGAAGTATGGGAGAGAATATTGTTATTAAAGACACTGCAGAGGATTGGAAACCCAATACATGACGCGGCGCAATCATCAATAATGCCGATGTTTCCTTTTGCTCGACTTTTCGGCCCGTTTTGAATTCGGTGCCGATTAATAAAATATTCAAATTAGCAGATCTAATCGCGAGATTGTGGTGGCACATGCGTGATAAATGGAGCTCGCCGAAAAACATCCATTCAAATCAGCCGCAGGTGAATCGATCGGAGGCGCCAGACTTTCATTCTGATTGTGAGTGAGAGATGTGGGTCGCCGATGGATCAGGACAATCTTATTATACAAAAAAAAAATAATAATAATTACGAATTTGTTTGAAGAAATTGACACTTGAGGAGATGGTCTTGGAAGTGAAGAGGTCGGGCTTTTTCCTAGTTGCAAAATTAAACGGCTCAATTGGATTTGAATATAAACAATTTTACGACGAGGAAAAAGCCGGAACTCTTCACTTCCATAATAACACATTAGTTTTATTTAATTTTTATGCTGAAAAGGAACGGTTGTTTAATGTATGTTTAAAGTGCCAAAAAGTTAAAAAAAATAATAATAATAACGTAAACAAAAATATTTTTCTTTAAAATATCAGTACTTTAAATTTATTTTTAATTTACTTTCTAAGCTTTCTAAGTTAATTTTAGTTTCTAATTTAAATTTATTTTTAATTCCATAAATTTTAATAAAAGTGGTTCTTTATTTTTTATTATTACAATTAATATTTGAACTACTTAACTAAAAAGTTTGTTGACGAAAATTAGTTTTTTTTTAATTTGATTTTCCCTGCTTTTACTTCTGTTCTCTTGAAGTGATTTTTAATAACCATCTAGCAATAACCTAAGTGTTACAAGTTTGACTGGCTGTTAACCAATGGTTAAATTCCATTGCAATAATTTGACATTGAAACATAAAATTAATTTCTATGAAATAAATTCGCATAAAGATAATATATTATTTTTGATTTTGTGTTTTTGGGCATACTTATGTAATAATCAAACAATAATATACTTTTATGATGGTTACATAATGGAAAAATTTCTGAATTAATATTAGCCGAAATTATTTTAATTAGTTCAAAGTTGAATAATAAGTGATAATAAGCATGAATTTGGAATTCGAAAAGAAATGTGAATGTATTCTTGGAGGAACCAGTAGTTCTCTCGCCATTGAATAAACATCATGAGATTTGGCCTGAAGCATTTTATATCTATATAATATTAAAGTCCCATAAATGGGCAGCGCTTTGCACGCACTACCGCCTCAAAAACAATAAAACTGAGAGGAAGCCTTTCTTGCGTTTTTTCTTTCAATATAAAGAATTTATACACCCTGCTTATTTCAGTCAGATTGAATTAATGAGCGATATCAATAAAATTCGCATGATTTTACAGGGAAATTTTTTCAGTCAATAATATGAGAAAAATACACATTCAAGTTGAAATAAAATTAATTATTATTGAGAAAACAGTTCTATTCTGAAAATTTTGAAAATAATTTAAAATACTATTCATGATATTTTTCCCTTGAACTTCACCTTGGGATTTTTCGTCTAAAAATTGGTTGGAAGTGCGTTCTGGAAACTTTATTCTTTGCTGTCCAATAAGAGAGACGCGTCTGTGAATGGCATTCGTTTAATACACGTCAACTTTTTATGGGTCCGCGCTCTCCTTTTCCGCCTTTTCGGACGCTAATGAGGCCGTTTTGGGCACCGTCTCGTAATGAACGGTGATAATATTCGGTCGGCGTGGGCGACGCGTTCGGCTTCTAGAAATAAATTAGCCCCCAATCGAAGCGCAAGGTAGATCACCGTGTGCGCCAAACACAGGTAATGAAATTCAGCCGAGAACAATGGCATTGGCGATTCCGCAGCGCGATAAACTTGTGCTCCCTCGTGGGCCCTGCCGCGAGAATTACTTTCGGCGCGTCGTGGGCCACGTTATTAAAAAGGCTTGATTGCAAACCGATCCATCTGCTCATTAGATCTCGGCCGGCCACAGCACACCGATCGCCATTAATTAAAGAGGCGTGCCTCCCATTCTGACAAGCCTTTGCTTTTTCAGCCATAACTTACCGGGCCTATTTTCACTCCCCAACTAACTTGTGAGCTACTGGCTGGACCGCCCATGCCGAGCACCTAGAACAAGCCAATTTCAAAATTCATAAGACACAAAATTTCAAAGAGAGAAAAGTAAGATCAAAAGAAGAAATAAAATTTAATGTGTCAGATTTATTATCACTTTTTCCTGTGAATTGAATTGATTCATGGAATTGCCTAACCAAATAACATGTACTGCACTCATTAATTTTTCAAAGATTTTTCCCCTGATAGTAATATTAAAATTCGCATGAACAATTTGAAAGTTAAAAGAATTCCTAAATATTTAAATTTTGGTGACTAGCTTTGGTTTGAATAATTTGAAAACACCGTGAATTTTAGGCTATCTTGATTTGAATTTTTCTCTGTATATTTCTTTCGCTATAACAGAGATACATTTTTACAATTGTCGCAATATTTACAGACCGCTAAACTCCTCAGACAAAAATTATTTCCTGCTTATTCTCAACGTTAACATAAAATGAACCCTTGGATTACATCAAGCTAATTGTAAAAAAAGAAGTAAGCTATTATTGTTAAATAATTTTTTTTGTTATATTAATTTGAATTGTTATCAGGCCTGCGAGGTTGACAATTTACATTGAAATTTAACATCGCCATTATTATAGTTAAGGGATACATTCATATACACATCATTTCTAGAGACTTTTAATGGGAAACTTCACATACATAATTTGGTTTTGACATCTGCTAAGCGCAAAAAAATTCAAATTTCATTTAATTTTAAAAAACGATTCACATAATATTTCATTTGTAAATCTTATTGTGGCGGAGTGGACAATAATTGCTTTACGTAGGAATAAAATAGACAATAAATAATCATCCCACACACACGCACACGCGGCGGAGACTTGAACACTGGGCAATAATTTTCGCCTGCAGCAGGGTTGCGAGACTAAAGGAAGATGCACTCACATTAAACATTAAATTGTGTATGAATTCGTGTGGAGGATGCAGCACCGTGTTGCATTTCATTAGTGCGTCCATAAATCGCGCCGGTGCTGCTGATGATGATGCTAATAACGTGAAATACTGAACTGGATAACGCATAAATCGGCGGCAAGCGTGATTTTCTCATGAGAGGCTTCTTGTGTGATATTAAATAAAAATGACTGAGCTGCATTATCCCCGTTGGTTGCAGCGGTGCATGTTCGCCTGGCAGCAGAATTGCCCATAACTTTGGCTCAATGTGTGAGAGGGACAAGCTTTATTATTTCGCTGCGCGGCCTCTATGCGAAAATGCTTTATGCGCACAATTCACGTCCGAGCGGTCTGCGCTCTATTACACGCCTCTTCCACGACACGCGAATAAATCTGATAAAATCCACACACCACTGCAAACTACTTTGCCTGTCCCACTCCGAAGGCGGCTGGACAATTTTCAACTTTCATGCAACTATAGTTTCAAATCGGCAGGATGAATTTATTACAAAATTTCTTTGATCCCCTTGAATTTCTTTACAATTCCAGTTATTTATTAAAACGTTACTAATTTAGAAATTAACTAACTGATTGTTAAATACTGTTTTACTGTTAATGTAAAGAGTACCACCTTCATTTAATTGATAATTTTTTTGTAATCCAAGTTTCCTCTCCTTTCTCCTTTTGTAAATCAATTTGTTTTCTTTTACTAAATTATTATTACTTGGGTAGAGATTTTTTGTTAACATGTTTATAAACTTTATTTTTAATCATTCTAAACGTTGCATTTGTGGGAAATTAAAAATCATTTTACAATTTTGCATAATTTTTAAATATTAAAATTATATTATTATTTTATAATTTTTATTTCTCTCATAATATGTATGCCGGCAATTTCTGCGATGCCGGTAAGAGTGCTAAAATTTATTAAACATTTTTATCCATTGCCTTGATTACTTAACAAGTATACGAAATATTAGAAATTTAACAAGTTTGCTTGAGGACAATAATGATTTTTTCAATATAAGTAGAAGAGAGTTGGATCTATATAAAAATTATGAATCAAGAATGCCTGTATTTCATCGTAACTAAAATCATGATTTAATATTTTTCAACATAAAACGCACTATATTAAAAAAAGCTGTTCGGGAAATTCATACAAATGGGCTCTCTTAAACTAAGACGTTAATCTTCCATCTTTTCTCATTTCCCTTGACTTTGCTTAAAATTTGCATTTTAGCAATTGCTTGTATGCCCTGAAAGCAAAATCTTCAAACAAGGGCATTGGATTAAATTAAGAGATTTCCATCGAGTAGCAGATTCCGGACAGATTCCCTCCTATACAGAATTGTACAGAAGGAAAGCAGTTGTTCAACCCTGAGGGTCCGCAGCAGATTTCTAATGCAAACATTCGTAAGGCCGGTAGCGTGTGCGTGACGCTTTTGAGGCATGCCAAAAAATTCCGCAGAAGCTAATAAAAAAACACCATATTGATTTTGAATCGCCATTGTTTCGCGCTAGGGCACACATTATGCGGTGTGATCGCGTGAAAGGAAAATTCCAGGAGCCAAAAACTGTCAGTTTATAATAATATCTCTGCGGCGCATTCCCGAGAATATAAAACTTTGTCGGCGATCGATGGGAAAAAGTAAGCGTTGTGGTAAAAAAGAGCAGACCTTGAGAGTGCATTCAAAGGGTTATCACGAGATAATATACATAATTCAAACGAAAGAAGAAGCAGTGCAGCGCTAATCCCTTGGCGGAGACCAAGTAATTCTCTTATTTATTAACAATATCGCTTCTTTATGGTGCACGCACAATCGTGGGACAAATTAATTCAACTTCCACGCAATTTAACGCACATTTAATTTAATCCCTCTCTCCGCTACCCGCATTAATTTCTTTCATCTTTTCTAAAAGATGCACTTTTTCTCCGAAACCTTTTCCTCTCCGCTGGCTTTTTTTTATCTTTTCAGGTCAACTGCGCAATTATCTCAAATCAGGGATGGGACCGACGAGAGAGGAAGTGGGATGATGAATAAAACAAGGAAAGCGCGACAATTTCGTCCAATTTGCCGGTGAATCAGGTAAAATCAAAAGAGGGTAAATGAATAATTACCTAATTATGCCTGCCGGGGCTGAAAACACTGGTAATGCATCAGCAGGGCGCACGATTTTTTTTTCTGTGATTAACTAAATTATACAGGAAAAATGTGCCGTTCCCATTGAATCAAATTTATTCAGGGAATTCGTGTTCGGTGCAATTTAATATGCAGTTTTCCTTCTTTATTCACCACGCTTAAAAAGATACGAGAAGAGCCAAACATAAAGATAACGGACGGATTTTTAATTTGACGTGTATCAGATTTATTTCAATAAATAGGGAGGATTTCTCAACAAATTAAATTTTACGACTCCAATAAATAGTCGCACAACTAATTAGTATCTCGGCGTGATTGTGTGCGCTCCGAATAGAAAGAGGATCCCTACCGTGTGGCGTTTGTCTTTTTTAATTTGTAATTCGTGACTACTTTCGGTTTTTTTTCCTTTTCTATAAACACACAGACACTTTTTGTGCGCTTGTGTGTGACCTTTTATGGTTGCTGCTCGGCACAAAACGTATCACATTGTATGTGTGTGACCTGCTGCGAGGCAAATTCATCATCGGCGTGCGTTTCGCGGTGGGAAAGCGATTCCACGAATTCGATCGTCTGCTCCAAACATAGAGAAAATTTTCATTCCAAGTGCACAAATGTAGCAAATTAAAAACAGAAGCTGATATATGGAGATCCTCAAAAAAAATTGTGAAAACTGAAAGTGCTCTCGTTGCCTGTATACTTTTGCTTGAGGAATTTCAGACACAAAGTTGTAAATGAATGTTAATCAGGGTCGTGATTTACGTGCAGTTTATTGCGGATTTCATGAGCGAAGGTCGATTATGCCCTTAAATAATCCAGCCCGTCTGCCTTCAGAGCTCTTAAGAGGCTTATACAGTTGCAACAGACCGGCAAGGAAAAATTGGAAATTTTTATTGTAGCATTTTATTGCTGCAATGCCAATGTCGCTGGATTCTATTAATTTCATTTGTTGCAAAAAATCTGTTTTAATTCCTTCTGAATATAACTTTCTTATTTATAAGAACTAAACTGCCCCTCTGAATTAAAAATCGCATTAAATGAACTATGCTTTCTTTGAAATCTATTTTCTATTTTCAATTCTTAGAGTTCCGGTTTCATTTGCATAAATCAAAATTAATCACCAGATCAAAGCTAATCATCCCAAAAGTGTTACGATCAAATTGCGATTTCTTTCGCCAATCCTACTGACGCCGTCGACAGACACCGTCTAAGTAAATTCAACACGCCACCAGATAATTTCCAATTTATATTTTGTCAATCACTAATGTAGGCAGCCGGCAGCAGATAAAACAACAACCGAAAAATCGATGATGCAGCAGTAGCGAACACGCTCTCGGGGCCTCTGATGTGTGTGTGATGATGGTCAAAAGTAATTTCCAATTCATTACCTGGAGGAGCACTTTGTATATTGGAGATCATTGATAACACATAAAAAGGAGCACACAGCTCGTCTGCCGCAGAGAGATACAGAGCCAGTAGTGAACGAAGTGGTACCTCCTTCGGTGGCATTATTTTTAAATAATGTTCCTTGGATGCGATGCTGGTCGAAACGAAAACTAATCATTTCTGCTGGCGCAGGAGCGTCTATGTGTTTTCTGTCCGTAGGAAAAGAATAAATGCGATTCAAGGCCTCCTGTTTTACCCTGGCCTTACTTCAAATAAAATTGTACAACGATTGTGAATTAAAAAGATTTATAATCTAAATTTTTGAAAATTTTAAAAAATTCCAAAATAATTATTACATACAAAAATTCGTGTTTAATTCAATTTCCACTAAACTGTTTGAGTAGTGCTGCCTGTATATCTAAAAGGAATATTCAAGTATGAAAAAATTTAATTTCAATTTAAATCCTTGAATTTTTATAAAAATAAAAACCAAAATATTTTTATTTTCATTGATTAAGACAATAAGACCGTAGTTAAGAAGGATCTGAATTGAGCACTCTCAACTTACGCTCT